TATTGATTAGTCATAACTATTAGATGGCCACTATTGATTTAGGTTAACTAGGTTAAAGGTCAGGATCACAGGTGCCTTTAATGTCAGAATGGTTTTCACTTAATGTCTAAAAAACGATTTTTACAAAGTTTTCATATTTCACACATTGATTGATAATCATTATTAGATGACCCCTATTGATTTTTTGGTAACTTGGTTAAAGGTGAAGGTCACAGGTTCCATAAATGTCAGAATGGTTTCTGCTGATTATCATGAAAACAATTTATCACAAAGTCTTCATATTTCACATATTGAGATGACCCCTATTGATTTTGAGATCACTAGTTCAAATGTCGCAGGGGCCTTAAATGTTACTCTGGTTTCTGCTCATTACCTTGAAAACATTTTATCAGAAAATTTTAATATTTAACATATTTATAAGTCATAATGGGGTCACTAGTTGAAAGGTCAAGCTCTTTATATTTCACATATTGATTGTTTATAACTACAAGGTCATTATTTTTCTTTTTCCCATAACTGAACACTTCCATGTACCCATTTATGGCAAGTTTTTATAACAAAATTAACAAAAATGTTAGTCAAGGGCTAGAAAGGGGGCATATAAGTCGTTCGACATTTCTTATTTAAAAACGGACATGAACTTTTAACAATATGTGAAAAATTACTATAAATTGTCAACAGTCTCCTTAGCCATGTTGCTTTTGAACTGTACATAAAACACTTAAGGTCAACCATCTTAAGCCCTCCAAACTTGTATTCCTGTTGAATCACTCAATAGAAAATTGAAAAACATTTGCTGGATAATATTTTTTTTGCTAGTGGTGGGTTAGGAATACTCAAAATGAAATGATTTAATTTTGACAAAGCAAGGATTTGAATAACCACCAATTTGCCAAGTGGTGTGAACACTCTTTTTTGACCAACAAGCAAACATCTTTTTAATTTCCTCAATTTTTAAGTCATAATTAATGTCAACTATATCAGATATGTGAACTGAAAATTAAATTCCAAACAGTGTGAACATATTATATCCCCATGATCTGTTGTATTCTGTTCAAAGTATTGTGCAACTGTATTTTTAACCCAAAATTTTGTTTACTCCATGTTTATATTAAAGCTGCACGCCTCCAGATGAGCAAAAAAAATTCGAATAAATCAAACCTTGGAAAAATGTACAAAGATTTTAGGAAAGGTATAAAGATTCAAAATTCTAGTAAAAATTTAGATATGTTATGTGCGATTAATGACCGAATTTTTCAGAATGTATAACTAATTTTTCAGAATGTATAACTATATTACTACTGCGTTACTTACGCAGCAAGGGCTATTTTTTGCATATTTTGACCTCTTTATAGTAATTTACTTAGATTATAAGTGCCATTGATAATGTGCAAATTGCATTCTTTTGGTACCTTTACAATAATATACTGTTAAATACATTTTCAAATTTTCAAGAAAATTAACATGAATCTAGAGGTGTGCTGCTTTAAGGCCTGATGTTTGCATAGAATTTGAAAGTTAACATTGTGTTTTTAATGATTCTGAAGTGCCATCTAAGAATAAACTAGTATCATCAGCATATTGAGATAGTTTGTAATCTGTACCATTAACACTAATTCCTTTTATATTATGATTATCTCTAATCAATATTGAAATAATTTCTGCGCAAAGAATGAACAGGTAGGGAAATAGAGCATCACCTTGATGGCAGCCTCTTTGTAGCAAGAACCAATCTGACATGTGACCATTAAAAATAACACAAGCCTTTAAATTTTATCGAGGGTTACAGATTACTGTAGAAAACGTGCTCCCAATCTCTTTTTGTCAATTTCGGCCTAATTTGGCCGATTTTTTTTTCAGAGAACTCTTACATTTGACAAGGTATTATATAATGCCTACGATCTTGGTCACAATAGCCATTTAAAAAAGTAATATTCTGAAGACCCTAGAAATTTTCAATGTAAAAAAGTAAACGGTTGAAAGTTTCATACCTGTATGGCTAAAGCCTGCTTCAGAATACATATCTCCGACATACGCACATTGATTTCCACATTCTCTTTCATCAAGTTGTTCCCTCAACGTCTCGGAAAAGTTTTTAGGAAGATTGTTCGACATTTTAAGGATTTATCTTATAGTTTTTGTCTAATTTCTAAACCTAATGAGTCACAACCGAAACTGGGAAACCAACGGCGTAATGCGCATATTTCAGATAGGTTTTATTTAAATCACTTGAAACCTAGACTGTTTGCAAAAAATAACGATCGCTTTTAAAACTAAAAACGTTCGACAAAATAGAGAAATAAAAGCTTTTATCTTTCATATTTGAAGATTCTTCATGCACTTTTTGTGCTTCATAACATGCCTGGCGATCCCTGTCAATTACATGGTGCTTAAGTAAGTCATTGTGTACAAGATGGGACATAACTGGGGAACACTGAACACTTTTTTCGAAAAAAAGAAAACCATTTTAGGTACTATTATTATCGTTAGATGAAAACATCTGCTAATTTTGAGGGTTCATTTTTAAGTGTTTGAATAATATTTTTCTATGCCATACGGCTTAGGTAGCTCACAATTAATAATGTTGTTTATGAACATAATCATATTGGACGTCCGTGGCCGAGTCGTTTAGGTCGTTGACTACAAAAACTTGCCCCTCGCCGCTGTGGGTTCGAATCCCGACAGGGACTTTGGATATTTCATGTGAGGAAGCTATCCAACTAGTTAACGGAACGTCGTTGTCCTACTCAGGTGCCCGTTCTTGCCTTAAATAATGCATATAAGGGCACATGAGGTTTTCTTCCACAAGTTAAGCTGGAATGTCGCCATATCACCTATACTGTATCGGTGTAACGTAAAACCCAATCAAACAAACACAATAAAACATGGTTAAGCATGAAATGAAAGTTGAACTAAGCTTGAAAGTAGAAATATCGCATGTCATTACATGTACAAACGTCAATCTTTCACGACGAACTACTATTAGCTCACCTGTCCATAAGGAGGTCAAGGTGAGGTTTAGTGATGGGGCTATGTCCGGCGTCGTGCGCTGTGCGTAGTTCGTCGTTTGTCGTCAACAATTGGGTTGTTAAAACTCTAGCAGTCACAGTTGAAATTGGATCATCATCAAACTTTGTCAGAATGTTTGTTTGAATGAAATACAGGTCAAATTCGAATATGGATTATCTCCGGTAAAAAACTAGGTCAAAGGAGCTAAAAAAAGAAAAATCTTGTTAACACTCTAGTGGCTGCAGTTTTGATCAAAATATTATGAAAATTTATCAGAAAAGATGTTGTGATGACTTTTAAAAATGTTTGAATATAGGTCATCTCCGGCTAATAACTAGGTCACAGGAGCTAAAAATAGACAAATCTTGTTAACACTATAGTGGATGCAGTTTTGATCCAAATATTTTTGAAATTGATCAAGAAGTTTGTTTTGATAATTTCTGGGTCAATATCATATAAGGGTCATCTCCTCTCCAGTCAAAAAATAGGTTACAGGAGCTAATAATAGAGAAAATAAATCTTGTTTACACTCTAGTGGCTGCAGTTTTGATTCAAATATTCTGGAAATTGGTCAGAAAGGTTGTTTTGATGACTTCTAGGTGAAGTTCGAATACGGGTTGTCTTGGTCAAAAACTAGGTCACGGGAGCTAAAAATAGAAAAAGCTTGTTAACCCTATATTGGCAACTGTTTTGATCCAAATATCCTGGAAAGTGGTCAGCAAGTTTGTTTTGATGACTTCTAGGTCAAGTTCGAATATGGGTCATCTCCGGTCAAAAACTAGGTCATAGGAGCTAAAAATAGAAAACTCTTGTTAAGACTCTAGTGGCTGCAGTTTTGATCCAAATATTCTTGAAATTGATCAGGAAGTTTGTTTTGATAATCTCTGGGTTAATATCGAATAAGGGTCATCTCCGTTTAAAAACTAGGTTAAAGGAGCAAAAATTAAAAAATCTTGTTTACACTCCAGTGGCTGCATTTTTGATCCAAATACCTTAGAAATGGGTCAGAAAGGTTGTTTTGATGGTTTCTAGGTCAAGTTCGAATAGGGGACCTCTCGGTCAAAAACTAGGTCACGGGAGCTAAAATAGAAAAATCTTGTTAACACTATAGTGGATACTGTTTTGATCTAAATATCCTGGAAATTGGTCTGCAAGTTTGTTCTGATGATTGCTAGGTGAAGTTCGAATATGGGTCACCTTGGGTTAAAAACAAGGTCACACTGCCCAAATATTGAAAGACCTAGTTAACACTAGAGGTCACATTTTTGACTCTATTGACATCAAACTTGGTCAGAATGCATGTCTAAATAATTGCTCGGATGAGTTAGATGTGTCAGGTGAGCAACGTAGGGCCATCTTGGCCCTCTTGTTATACTGTAAAAACTGATTATTTGATTATTTTCTCACGTTATTTCTATTATATTATATTATTATCGGTGATTTTAATCATCATGCCAGTCCTTTTAATCTTGGCTTTGTGTCAAACTTTATAAAATTGGTTAACTTCTTCCTGTGGACTCGTTTGCAATTCATGTCTAGTATCCAATTAAAATGTCAAAATAGTAATTGTTTTTGATTACATTATTTTCTTTTTTAAATAAAGTTTCGCGAATTGATGAATTATGTTAAATCTAAACTAAAAGGGACTCCTATGAAGTTCAAATGCAAATGCAAAAAAAGAAAAAAGAAAAAAAAAGATTCGAATTTTTTACATGGATCAGCTGGGGTATTTAAGATAAATGCAAAATATGCAGAAGATAATTAGGAAATATACTCCGAAATAAATTGAAAAATAGTAACGCAGAAACCTATGTTCTTTATTTTATTACCCCAAACAAATCATTTGAAATTTTTAACTAAATCTAAATGTAACATAACTAAAACAAGAGCAAAAATAACTCAACTATTCTTAACTTGCAAGTTGAAAAAAAAAACGTGAGTAGATCTTTATACTGTTAATAATTACTCTTACCCTGTAACTGTACAAATTTCTTATTTACATGGTACACTTGCTTTAGCGTTAAGGATAACTCCCTGTGGCCTGTTGGAAATTTACATAACAAAAAAGTGAGGGTGAAAAACGTAAAATAAGTATAATACGTTCTATATGAACATTTTAAATGCCGGCTGTTCTAAAAAGTTAAGGCATAGTACTAATAGGTTATTAGAATCCATTAAATGATAATTGGTTGGATTATACAACATAATATAATATGATTTTTTTTTTAAATTCTTTATTCAAACTTTATGTTCTCTAGGAAATGAAATACATTGCGTTTTGGGGATGAAACATATCATATTTTATAGAAAATGTACCTTCAGCTTTTTATTTTGTGTGACTAATTAAATAATTTATAGTCTTTTATTTCATTTCTACAATTTGAAATGTTTTGTGTTATGTACTCGATTCTGTTGAAACAATTAAATTTCTAAAAAATATGCTTTGTATTATGCATGTAAAGCCATCTTGTTTAGTAGACCTCTTTTTCAAAAATATTAACCAAGTGTTACAAAAACATTATCTAAGGTATTTTTAAACCTATTTTTATACAAATTAAAATTCTATTATGGCTCATTTTGAAAGAGTGTCAAAGTCTTTTGATTACACTTGATTGATGTTTCGGTCATTCTTATTTTACTTCAATTTCATCTAAAACACTTATAAAGTAACGTATTCATTCAAATGCGGTGTCCATTTATTGTAAGTAGTATGTTCATTATTTTTCTACGATTGAATGAAGCAAGGTTTTACATAAAAGTAATATATTCATTAAGGTTATAAACATTCAGGAATTATACACAAATCTACACAAAGAATGAAAAATATATTGACACATTTTTTTCCAAAACCGCAACAAAGCTGATTTCATTTCCTCTTTCGATAAGTCAACTACTCCTCAGATAATTTGACTGCCTCCTCAATAACAAGCCGACAAATAGGACAACTGTGAAGGAAACCTTCACAGTATTCACAAGTTGCCATATGTCTACAAGGAAAGAAGACGATGCAGCTATCTTTGTCGAGACATACTTTACACCGGAACAGTTGTTCAAGCTCTAGTATCTCTGAAAAAAGATAAAAGTGCATCAAATATGTGAAAATTTATAACTAAATTGAAATATAAATGATCTTTGATTATTACAACTAATGTTGAACAGAAACTTTTTCGGGAGAGAGTTTGATATAAGCTTTCAGCATTCTACTCGATCCTGATTGTAATTTGCGTATTGTAATTTTGCATTAAAACATTGAAGAAAATAGGAAATAAATATGTTTTAACCAACAAAGAAAACATCACAATTGAAAACATAAAGCATAACGGTACCAGTTCTCACAAAAATTCTATATTTGAGTTTCGTTTAGTAAGTTTTTTCTACTTTTTACTCGACATTCGAAACTGTTCAAATGTTTGTGTAATGATTTTATTTTATAAAGAGATACTAGTAGTCATCGAAAACAAGTTTTTATCTGCAAGTTTTAACAATATACCCTTTTCTGCATCATCCAACTCGCCTCTTAATTTTTCGTCCTTTCCCATTTGTTTTCCTCTTTCCTTTTTTTCACCTGTTACGACAGCAATTTGAAAAAAAACCCAGCAATTTGTGTTTCATAAATTGTTTTTTTTTTTTAAAAAAACATAACATAAATGAAAATAATTACCACATTTGAGAACAAAAGTACTTTCTCTATCAATTAGATATATCACTTATTTACAACTTTGTCCATTAGATGTTTTCATGCGTCATTATTACGCATGTTTTATATATTATTTAATCTTTAAGACAGTGTCTAACATCATATCATATTCTTCTGTAATGGTTATCACACATTTATCTATCATTAATGCCATTAATCAACTATTTATGCATTGTAAGATCTATATACAAGTTTACTTTTAAGAACTTCTACATTATAACAAATATATCAAGGACAATTGTCTTTCTTGTTTGCAGGTATAAAAGAAGACATACCTCCTAAGCCAATAGTCGGTTTCAGTTTGTGGCGTATTCGTTTCATTTTGTGCTTTGGCTTTAATAAAGAAAAAAAAAGCCCTGTATGAGTAAGCTACGGATTTTGAAGTAATCTTAGTTTCCGAATGTTATCATGGACAGACAGACGAACAAGTGCCACATAATAGTTCGACTGTAATACCGTTGACACCTTTTTTAAAAATCAAAGGTTTTCTTTTAAATCATTATCACAGAGACACTTGGCCAGAAGCTAATTACATACACTAAAAGTAATATGAACGCTATTTTATCATAGAACAAATAGGAAACTTTCGAACTTTTCCCGAGTTAAATTGTCATTTCCTATTATATTGTATAAACTTATGGTTGTTGGGATTTTTTTTCATTTAAACATAAATAAATATGTTTCTAATGAACAAAAATAAAATAATTTATCACACACCCGTGCCGATTTTGCGATTGAACTTACAGTCATTCAATGTCCTCTATTTATTTGATTCTACCCATGAAATAAGGTGCTCTATCAGTCAAATATATTTCATATGTAAAAAATAAATATGAAATATAAATATGAAAGAGGGCAGAGTCAAAACTCATATTTATTTTAAAGGACTCCTTTCGCCATTTTGTTTGAAACATTTGATAAATAAAACATAACTTTTGTTGATTTTTGTTTTTAAAAATTATCTAGCATGGTAGAAAATGGTCTAACTATGAAAATAATTCCGAACACCAATATCTTTATTCTGTACAGACGTTTAGAATTGTTTACGTGACGTCACAAACATCGCGTGCAAAACAAGACGCATCTTTAAATAATAAATATATTACTGCGCGCTGTACAATTGCAGTTGCGTAGCAAGCAAAGAGATTCGTAACAATTCTTTTGATAATGAAATTAAATAAAAAGGTTATTTTTCCGTTTTTCGTGAAATATGGTATATATTTTTACTCAACGTGATAAAATACCACATATTTTCACTCGCCGTTCCGGCTCGTGAAAATATGTGGCATTTTATCATGTTCCGTGAAAATATATTCCATATTTCACTCAACGAAAAAATATCCTTTAAATATAATTATAACAAATATTTAAGAAATGACATCTTAAACTATCTTTTTAAGAATTCATTCATGAGTATATAATTAACTAGAAATGTGCTGTCACGCCACGGATGCCCCCGCAAGCAGCCAAAATTTCAAATGTTATAATATTTAGCTAAAATTTGTTTGCACAAACTTTTGTTTTTCATTTTATGTTCAAAGCCCTTAAAACTATTCAATGTTAACACAAACCATTTTTATACAAAGTTCAAGGCACTGAAACTATTTAATGTTAATCTTTTGTGAATTGCCTATTGCATATTTGTAGCCAGAACAATGACTTCATACATTTCCACGAAAGTATGAGTGCTGAAACTGAAAATTTCAACATTTTTCCAACATTAAAGAGAGATAACTTTGTTCAAAATCACTGAACCACAACCAAATTCAAACTTGAACTGCTTATTCCTAAGATGTATCTATATGTCAAGTTTTAGTTCAATGTGTACAACCATTGGGGAGATAATGAAAGGAAACTAAAAATTTCTGATTTTTCTAAGTTAAACAGCGATAACTCTTTCAGTTATCACCAAAGCATGACCAAATTCGAACTTGATCGGTGTATTCTTATGACATATCCATATGTTAAATTTGAGTTAAATATGTACAACCATTGGGGAGATAATGAACGGAAACTTAAAATTTCTGATTTTTTTCAAAGTTCAAGAGGGATAACTCTGTCAGCTATCATCAAACCATGACCAAATTCGAACTTGACCAGTGTATTCTTATGACATATCCATACGTTAAATTTGAGTTGAATCTGTACAACTGTTGGGGAGATAATGAAACTGATAATTTCCTTTTTTCAAAGTTAAAGGGGCATTACTCTGCCAAAAATCATTGAACTATGATCAAATTCAAAATTGACAAGCAAATTTCCTTGACATATCCATATGTCAAATTTGAGTTGAATGTGTAATACCGTTTGGGAGATAATGAACGGAAACTGAAAAGTTCATCAAGAGGCATAACTCAGTCAAAAATCATGAGACCATGTCCAAATTCAAACTTGACCTGTATTTCCTTATTATATACCTATATGTCAAATTTGGGTTGAATGTGTACAAACATAATTAAAATAAGGAACGGAAACTGATGATAGCGGAAGGATGGAAGGACAGAGGGACGGACGAACGGAATGACGGAACAGGGTAACACTATATGCCCCGGCCATTTAATAGCGGGGGCATAAAAATGAAACACGTCTTTTACGTCTTAGTAAATATAATAATTAAGAGAGATATTTTAAGTTTTCATCCAAATGTCTTTAACCTCGGCCTTGCATTTATGACTTTTAAATTATATGGGTCACCTACTACGAAAGGCAATGTACCTACTTAGTTTCACTTCCCTACCCTTTTTGTAAGTTATTGATTCGGCAAGATTTTACTGTCACTGTGACCTTCATTGTTGCTCTAATGACCTCAAAAAAAGAATTCATTCACATGGGCAATCTTTATATTTTTCATTGTTTTTATCATCGTACGAAAACAAAAGCCACATAAGAGCTTACTTATTTGACACTTCTTAAAAAATAAATTGTTTAATTTGAACAGATTTGTATGTATGTTCGTAACCAAGGCGTGAATTTCTCTAATATAATAACGGACACCCTTATTGTGAGTACTTCAATACTGAACGAAACACACGTTGATTATATTTCTATGCTAACCATTGATTTATAAACAAAAACTGTCATTATGTAAAATTTACACGAACGAAACGCCAAACACTTTCTATATATAATGTATAGACCTTTTTACGACGCGGTCCGTTGCTATGAAAAATCGACCGGAATTAGAATTTTCTCGCGCATGAGCAATCTGCGTAGGTAAAAAAATGCTTCGCCCTACATAGAAAGTTCATAGACAATTCCGAGTTAGTTCGAGGTAAACGGTAGAAAATTATATAAAATAGCTTTCATCAAATATAGAAAAGATGACTTTATAGCTTTGTGGCGAAGAATGCCATAGAAAGGCATGGAAAAGATACTTGTTTAAGAATTCACGATCACGGACCTGACACTGAGATCATTTTTTTAAAAAAAGATGTGGAAATATATCTATTGGCAAATGAAAAGTCAACTTATTTGCTGTTAAAATAGTTCATTTAAAAACAAAATAAATTATATAACATGAAATCGAAATTAATTATCATACAGAAAAAAATATCAGAACAGGTGATAATGCATTTTTAGTGTTCAATATACCTGATTATATCCTTTATCCGATTTGCCTGTGATACAAACAGAAAAATTTAAGTCAAATAATTAGATTTATTTTTCAAAATCTTGAAAAGATAAGATAGGTTGTTTGGAAAAGATATAACACACATTTATCCGTTTCTTCTTAATACATGTCCTTTGTAATTATGCACCTCACACAATTCTTCTCTTCTCAAAATCCATAAACATTGATCGGTATGTTTAAAAGATACATAAATTACCATTTTAATAAGCGTAACTGATTAACTATATCATAATATTTAAACGTCCCGGTTGAATGAACAAACGTTCGCATGCCAATCTTTTTGACACTTGCCGCCTGACCAATCCAGTTATTCAAAGGAAGTGTACAATACAAATTGTGTAATATTATATAATACAGGGGTAATAAAATTTTATCTTTAACACCCTGCTGTTTCAATTTAAATTACTGATGGAAAAATCGTCTAATGATACCTTAAACAAAGACATGTGTGTGCCCATTTTGACCATTGAATTATTACTCCCGCACGTTTTCGTAGATCTTTTTAAAATAAATTCACGTTTTCAGTATTCACCGCCTTAAGTCATCCCAAAATTAATATTTTTTTGGTTCACATAACATGAAATCGCATCTATTAAAGCCTTTAAGTATGATAAACTGTAGACATCTTTATTGCTTTTTGCAGAATGCGCATGCGCGAAATGCAACATTCGTTGCTATAGAAAATCGTATTATAAAAAGTTCCATATAATGAATTCAAAAACATAATTAACTATTATGATATGGTTTTCTTATTATACTTAATTAATGTAACAAGGAAATGAGATTTACATTTTCATTAATAAAATAAACCCAAAAAAAGAATTGTTATTCGATACTTCTATGAATATAGAATTAAATTTCCATATTATGTATTTAAAGTTCAATACAGTTTCCTCCAACAACTCATGTTGAAATCTCATAATCCTCTTTACCTCTACCAGACTTCTTGTGTGACATGACAGCAGTGCAACATTGTTTTGTTTGTGTCACTGCTGTAGTCAGTTAAATAAGATGATAAAAAATATCAAAGCATTTACATTTTCTTTTTCATCTATAATGCTACTCATTTTCTACAAATATCTTCACTTTATCATGGTAAGATATATAAAAATGAATATGTAGATAAGCCAAAACAAAAACTTTCATCGACTTTATTAAATGTCTGTTACACGGCAAATGGTATATCATAGGCATTGATGCAAAGCAACAAAGGGCGTCCAAGCAAGTAATGTTGCCAGTGACGATGACTAAGAGACATCTGATGACCATTTTCTTTTCAATGGTTAATTGGATTTAACCATTATTGTATATTGTAGATGAATAGGTGGACGAAAGACATTGTTTATCATGAACTTTGGTAGGTTTACTAAAATTAGAATATTAAATGTGTTTTCTTTGGAACATACAAAACAGTAGTCAAAATAAAAAAAATAATTATACACCTTTCATACAAAGTCTGTTGTTTTTATTATTATTATACTTATAATAAATGTACAAACAATATGTAACGAAAGGGACTACTATAGTTATATTACATACATATTTTTCATGTCAAATTAAAAAGAAGGTTTGTATTAATACCTGGGACTTAAGATATATTGTTATATTTCAAGTCCCAGATAAATACTGAAAGTAGAACACACACTGGAATAAACTATCTGGGATGAATTTCAAAACGACGAATTTATTGGGAGATCAATTT